CAGTCTGTGGGCCAATGCTCTATCCACTGAGCCAAACTGGCTAGGGCCCAACTGATTTTTTACAAAGGTGCAAAAGCAATTCAATGGAGGATGGGTAGTCTTTTCAACAAATGGTGCTGGAGCAATTGGCTATCCATAGAGGAAAATTTTAAAAACCTTGACCCAAACCTTGCACCTTATTAAATTTTTTTCAAATGAATCAAAGATTTAAATGTACAACTTTTAGAGGCTAACATAAGAGAAAATCTTTGGGATCTAGGGCTTAGTGAAGAGTTCTTAAAATGGTACCAAAAGCATGACCCATAAAAGGAAAACACAATAAACTGAGGTTTTGATGTGTTGGCAAAATGTGAAAAAGAAAGGAACACTTGTATATTGCTGATAGGAATGTAAAAATTTTCAGCTGGTAATGAAAACCTCACTAAGTTAATATAGAATTACCATATCACCTAGCAAATCCACTCCTGGGTATGTACCCAAAAGAATTGAAACTAGATATTCAAGCAAAAACTTTTATACAAAGATTCATCGCAGTACTGTTCATAATAGCCAAAAGGTGGGAAAAAACAATTTTTATAAGCTGATGAGTGAATAAACAAAAGTGATATAGCTATACAATGGTATATTACTTAACCAAAAAAGATAATTAAGTACTGATACATGCTACAACATAGATGAACCTTAAAAATATTAAGTGAGCCGAAACCGGTTTGGCTCGGTGGATAGAGCGTCGGCCTGCGGACTGAGGGGTCCCAGGTTCGATTTCGGTCGAGGGCATGTGCCTAGGTTGTGGGCATATCCCCAGTGGGAGATGTGCAGGAGGTAGCTGATCGATGTTTCTCTCTCATCGATGTTTCTAACTCTCTATCTCTCTCCCTTTCTCTCTGTAAAAAATCAATAAAATATATTTAAAAAATAAAAAAAAAATATTAAGTGAAAGAAGCCAGACACAAAAGTCCACATATTGTATGATTCCATTTATATGAAATCTGCAAAAATATGGAAGTCTATAGAAATAGAAAGCATATTAATGGTTTCCAGGGATTGAGGGGAGGAGGGAATGGAGAGTGACTTTTTAATGGATATGGGGTTTCCTTTTGGGGTGATCAAAATCACCCCAATCAGTTAGCCCTAATCAGTTTGGCTCAGTGGATAGAGCGTCAGTCTGCAGACTCAAGGGTCCCAGGTTTGATTCTGGTCAAGGGCATGTACCTTGGTTGTGGGCACATCCCCAGTAGGGAGTGTGCAGGAGGCAGCTGATCAATGTTTCTAACTCTCTATCCTTCTCCCTTCCTCTCTGTAAAAAATCAATAAAATATATTTTAAAAATAAAAATAAAAATAAAAAAATGTTCTAGAACTAGATAGTAGTAATGGTTGCATAACATTTTGAATGTACTAATATAATTAATGGTAAAATTTACTTATCTGTATTTTACCACAATAAAAATGGTGAATTCTATTGTATATAAATTATACCTCAATAAAACTGACATAAAATATTAATTGTGACATTAATGGATGCTAAAACTTGTAGGTAAGATTTTTTTTGATGAAGATTGGATACTTACATAGATTCAGACTATCTCCCCACAAATGTACTTATTTATTTACAAAAAGAAAAAATAGCATTACAGTTGAAAAACCTAGAAACCTTACCTGTGATAGTTTATTTCATGTGTCACCTTGGAGTATGCTTTGGATGAGATTACCATTTAAGTGGGTGAACTGTGGCTAAGCATGCTGCTCTTCATAATGTGGGTGGGCCTCGTCCAATCAGTTGAAGGCCTGAGAAGAATAAAAAGACCAGCCTTTCCAGCAAGGAGGGATTCTCCAGCAGACTTCCTTCAGATTTCACCTGCACCAGTGGCCCTCCTGGGTCGCCAACCTGCTAGCCTGCCGGGGTTCTTGTTCCGGCATCTAGAAGGGTTCAGGAAATCTGGGGAAGGCTGTGCGTAGATTAAATAGGAGTCCAGAGACGAAATATAATTTTGAAAGGCATTTGGGGGTCAGAGGAGCCTAGTTTGAAGAAAACTAAGTTGTAAGTTCTCCTCGTCTCAGGGCCCCATGCTTTTTATTAACACAATTTGTCCTGAGGCAAGGCAGAGATAAACACTTCAAAGGGTCAGGGTTTCCTACAGAGTCCATTGTCAGAATGGGGGAATTAGCCTACGGCTGTTCAGGCGTTTGGCCAGTAGGAGGCAATAACATGTAGATTAAGATGCCCTGCGCTGTCTGGCAGCCAATAATTATCCCTTTTCAGGTTTGGGGAAATGCCCTCAGCCATTCCCAACAGGTGACTACATGTGTGACTCAACCCTGTTGAGTCCCCAAGTTCCATCAACCTTTTGATGAAACTCTTGAAATTATGACATGCTAGAATTGGCTTCCGGCACTAGCCCACACTGCAAATTTGAATTTGCCAGCCTTCGTAATTGGGTGAGCGAATTCCTTATAATAAATAAATAAATGAAAACATAAGTAAGGACATAAACACACACATAGCTAAAGATACATCTCCTATTGGTTTTGCTTCTAATTGGAGAACCCTAACATACCACTTCAATCCTATGATCAAAGTTAACATCACCAGCAATAGTAACTGACGTGCACATCCTAATGTAATATAGTGAGAAGGCTACATTACTTATGTGGTAAACCTGCCAAAAATTAATATCCTGAATCTAATCATGAGCAAACAACAGATAAACCCAAACAGAGGGACATTCTACAAAATAACTGGCCAGAACTCTTCAAACATGCCAGTGTTGAGAAAGACAAAAAGGAACGAGAATTGACTTCTGATCAAAGTGTGAGCCATTTTCTCACCAAAGTATCAGCCTTTCAAGACAGAGACTGTCTTTTTAGCTCTGTACTGCCCACCCCCTTCCTGATGCCTGGCACACAGCAGACCAGCCAAGCTCCATGCCATTCCTTAGCCCTGTCTAGGATACCCTACCCCGGCTGGAACCTAATTCTGGGCCCTCTGGGGCTGAGCTGTCCCTTCCTGTCCTCAACTGCCTGCCATGCTACAGCCCTACCACCAGAGTGCTCCCAGCTGGGCTTTAGAGACCCATTTGCTGTCCCCACAAAGCCCCTCTTCTCCCTTGGTGTCACAGCCTGAACTGCCCTGCCCCATCCTGCAGGATGCTTTATGCCTCTTGCAGAGCTGGAGCTGCTGACCTGTCTCTTCTATGTTTGCCTCAGGTAAGACAGCCTTCCCAGCAGGATCTCAGGGCTGGTCCAGCTTCCCGGCAAAGCTTGGCTACTACAAGTGTGTTATCTAGTCTCTGACAGGAACGCCATCTTCCTGGGACACTGTCCTACATGCAAACTCTTCTCAGGACCAAAGGGGACCTCTTTGGCCATTTCTGTGTGTTTGAGGCCCCCTAATGACTGCTCCCTGCAGCTTCAGGTTTGGCCCAAGGGCCACATATAACGTTTGGTTCATTTGCAGAAGGGGCAAAGTACAAAACCCCCTTGGGCTCCTGGAGGACTTCCCTGAACTGGTGCTGCCTGGAGACCTGGAGCACCTGGATGGCCTATCCGCCCACTCACCAGCTACTGTTTCTCCCTAAACCTGTAAGAGGGAAGCTCACTCAGCATGAGGCTGAAAGCAGGTTCAGCAAAGAAAGGAGGACAGGTGTCAATGGAACCAGGGCTCAGGTGGTGTGGAAAGAACGGGTAGAATGCAGCTGGAGCTCGCTGTGGGCTGCGTCATTGTGATGGTGGCTATGTTTTCCGTGTCATCCTCGTGCATTTCCACCCATGAAGTTCCCTGGGGAGAGGCCAAGGGAAGGCCACCATGCTAAGTGGTTTGAGCAAGGGAAAGGGTGTGGTTAAGGGCTCCGGCGCTCAAGGAGACAGGGGATCCCCCTGGGCAGAATGGTGGGGGTGGTGACTGGATAAACTGGGGAGGGATGAAACCTGTCTGGCTTGAAAGCCCACTCCCCACCTGCTGCCCCCTACTCTCAGCTCTCCTCAAGTTCTCTTTGCAGAATCTGAGTGTGGCCTCTGCAAGAAAGCTTCCAGGGTGACTCTCTAACACAGTCGCCTCCCCAGGACTCACAGACTCTCTGTCAGGGACTGGGGAGAGCTTTTGCAGCACAACACTTTCAAGTCGCAGGACAAGTCTGCCAATTATCAAGGAACCTGTTTACAAACAGAAATGTTTTTGCCTGTTGCAGTGATGGGGTGGGGGGGGTCATCGTCGCGGGGGGGCGGGGGGTAGTCTGCCATCACTAGAAGGTTCTGCAGGCTGGAAGGCCTCACTCCCAAGGTGGTGGGTAACTGAAGCACAGGGAGTTAAGTCCTGAGGGGGCGATCCTGCCCACTCTCCCCACCGCCGGAAAAAGTGGGGAGATGGCTCTGCAGTGGTGGGAAGGCTGATTGCTTCCTGGTGGTGGGCGGGGGGAGTCGCTGCGGTGATGAGGACCCCTGCTTGGAGTGAGTGGTCACTGAGGGGGTCAGACAAGCTGAGGATGCCTGCAGGGCAGGGGAAGGTTCTGCAGCGAGGAAGGAGCACTTTGAAAAGGAATGGGGGTGGCTTGCTGGGGCTTGGGGTCCAAGGGTAGCAGGGAGCTGGGGTTCGCTGCAGTGAGGAGGGAGGGTGACTGCAGAGACGGAAAGCCGAGCTCGGGCTGGCGCGGGGCGGGGGCTGATACTGGGAAAGCTGTGGTCGCTGCAGTGTTGGGGGGCGGCAGGCTGAGCAGCTCGGGGGCATCTGCAGGCCGCCTCACTTCCTGAAGGACAGAAAGGGTGGGGCCTCGGGGGCCCGTCTCGCACGGATGGGGGGCTGTGCGGCGGCGGGGACGCGGTGCCTGCAGTGCGGTGCGGGTCTGGCTGGAACGGCCAGGGCTGGCGCGGAGGCGGTACCGCACACAAAGAGGCGGGGGTTGGAAGACGGGGAGCACCAGCCCCGCCGCAGCGGCAGGCGGGGCCGAGGCGGGCCAGGGGGCGGCCTTTCCGAACGGGGGCGGGACCAGCATCCTTGGGGCCGACGCCCCTGCGCGGACAGAGAGCAGCCGCTGCGGGAGTCCGGAGCGGGAGCCCCGCAGGTGCCCAGACCGAGTGCCCCCCGGGCGCAGAGGCGGCACCTCACCGCTGGTCCCGTCGCGGCGCCCAGAACTCCGCGGTGGACGCGGCGGTGAGGCCGGGGCTGCCTGCGGGACGGGACGACCCCGAGAGCCGGCCCGCCGCATCCCAGCCAGCTCGGCCGGCCGGCTCCGGGTGGGGAGGGGCGCCCCGGACGGACTCCCCCCGCCCTACACTTCTCCTGGCCTTGCCGCAAGGACCCCCTCCTTTCGCTTCCGACCTCGTTCTCCCCAACCCAGCCCCCTACCCCACTCCGGCTGCAGTCTCTCTCCGCATCCAGGTCAGTTAAGGCGCCGGAGAGAGAAAGGGGGGCAGCCCTCCGGCTCCCCATCCCGCCTCGCCCCTGCTGTCCCTGGCTGGGCTGGGGACACCCAGCAGGATCCTCGCCCTTTAAACCCTTCCTCCCCACCCAGAGCATCTTTCCTCTCCCCACCCGCGCCACTTCCGACAGCTGGCAGCCGCGGGGAGCCCTGGGGGGCCGGCAGGTACGGGCGGCGGGGCGGCTGGGAGCCGGGGATGGAACAGCTGTGACACCCCCCTCCGCCCCTAGAGGAGCCGCTGGCGGGACTGCTCGGCGCCCCGAGCGCCGGTTAATCATTAACCCTCCGCGCCCCGGTTCCGCGCTGCCCGGAGCTGCGCTCGCCCGGCTTCCCAGGTAACGGGCGAGGGTGCGGGTCTCACCCCCTGCCTCCTTCCGCCCTCCCCTCTGCACCCTCGGCCGCCCGAGCCCGGCAGCCGGACGGCCCCTGCAGGCCCCGCGCTCTTGCCCGAGTTAGGAAGCGGCGGGCTTTCCCGAGCGCGGAGGGTCCGCGCGCCCCTCACCGGGCGCCCTCCCCAGGCACCATGCCCGGCCTGTACTGCCCCTCCAACTGGACGCCGCTGCCCCTCACCGACTCCTGGGTCCGGGCCTGCGCCAACGGCCCCTGCCTGAGCCTGCGGGCCCGGCTCACCTACCGCAACCCGCAGCCGCAACCGGTGGACGGTGAGGCCGGGAGGGGCGCGGGACGGTGGGGCGCGGGCGCCGCGCGAGATCCGACGCCGCCTGTGCCCCCACCCAGGTGTGTTCGTGTACCCGCTGGCCGAGGCCGAGGTGGTGTCGGGCTTTGAGGCGGAGGCGGCCGGACAGCGCGTCTCCTTCCAGCTGCAGAGCCGGCGTCGCTCGCAGGCGGCTTGCTGCCGCGCGCTGGGGCCCGCGCTGGGGGCCTCGACGCCCCGCCGCTGCGCGCAGGGTGAGTCCCGGGAACCCCGGCCCCGCCCCCCAAACCCGCCGAACTGCCCGGCTCTGCGTCCGCCCCTCCCCACCCCCCCACCCCCAGCCCTGATTTTTTTTTTTTAATTCATTGATTCATCCCTTTATCCAACAGCTGTGGTTTGGGCACCTGACGTGCGCCAGGTGCTGGGGGACTGTGACCCAGGCCTGACCCACGGTTTTCAGCCAGGGAGACAGACACAGCAGGCGTCACACATCTGTTTCCCCCGCCGGAGCAACAGCTCCTGAGCCTGGGGCAGGGTGGTGGTCATGTCCACGTCCCAGCATCTTAGGGGTTCAGTGAGCGCTGGGTGAGAGGGCAGCCCACCCCTGTGTTAGGTTCCACGGCTTGCAATCCATTCTTTTCTTGACTTTGTGTACATTCCTTGGATTTCTGCGCATGGGATTTACCGTCCGAGTGAAAAGAGGGACCGAATCCAGTGGTGCTGAGAGTTGGCATAAGCCCAGCAGGTAGTTAGAAGCCAGAGTGAGGAATGTTCCAGAAGGAAGTGGAGCCAGCATTTGACTGAAAGGAAGGAGGAGGCGGTGAGGTGGAGGAGAGGGGGGAGGCACCAGGCGAGGGCAGCGGCGTGAGCGAAGGTTTGGAATTAAGTTGTCCTGGGTGATGTAGTAAAACACCTGGTGTGTGTAGAGATTGATTGACACTTCGCAAAGCCCAGTCCCTGGTCGCATCTTGTCCGAGTCCTGAGAGGTCTGAATGCGATTGTTGTTCTCCTTCTCCCTCTTATAGGTGATGAAAAATAACAGCAATGGTCTCTTACATGTTAGATGCTTTGCACATATTATTTCATTTATTCCTTGACCTTTGAGATAAAGTTATTATGGCCCCCACATGGCGGAAACTGAGGCCCCTCAAAACGAGAGAGTTACCAACAGACAGAGTTAGAAGCCACAGAGCCGAGACTCACACTGTGCTCTCTCCACACCATGTGGCAGCGGGCTTTCTTCCTTCTTTTCCTCCCATCTCCACCCCCCCCCCTTCATTTATTCAGCAAGCGATTCTCAAAAGAATGGATAAGTGATGATTGTGGGAACGTGAGGTGACGTAGGGCTGTAAAGATAGTCTGGGGCCAGACCATGGAAGGCCTTGACTGTCACGGCGCACTCCTGGCCATTTTTCCTGTAGCAACCGTGGTGACCCCACGACACCCCACTCAGTCCCCAGATAGAACTATGATCTAAGTAAAATGGTGTGCTTGGTATGCAAATACAGCTTTATGTCCTTAGGCAGCTTCCAAGCAGATTACTGCTCCTGAACTCCTCTTGGGTAGACAATCCTGGAGCCACTCCCAGTGGGCAGTCGGGAACTCCTTACTATTCATGAGCAAGGGGTTTGTGGGTCCCAGGCTACAGGAAGCGTCAGTCCACCAAGATGGTCCTTTAGGAAGATGATGTCCAAGGGTTGAATAGACAGGGGCAGAGGTCCAGAGGGCATGGGTCCCCAGAATCTGGGCATCATGTGAATATGCCCTGTCCTCCTCAGCTTCCGTTAGCAGTGTTGTCACTGCTCCCTTCCTGAGGACAGCCAGACCCTTTTACCATCCATCTACCTCTTTCTACTGTCCTTCGTCCCATGCCTCCATCCTGTATCACCAATGCACTAGCCCCGTGGTCCGCAAACCGCAGCTCGCGAGCCACATGCGGCTCTTTGGCCCCTTGAGTGTGGCTCTTCCACAAAATACCATGTGCGGGAGCGCACATACAGTGCGATTGAAACTTTGTGGCCCATGCGCAGAAGTCGGTATTTTGTGGAGGAGCCACACTCAAGGGGCCAAAGAGCCGCATGTGGCTCGCTAGCAGCCGTTTGCCGACCACTGCACTAGCCCATTGTCTCTCCAGTACCCCTTGCCCAGGCTCCCCTGACTCAGTGCCCGCACCCACCCCTACCTTCCCTCATCCTCTCTGCTTCCAGCTCCCTCTGACCCCTTTTCTCACTCATCATAGGTCATCTTGTCTTGGATCTGGCCCAGGCCCGGTCCACACTGGTGCTGCCCACCGGCCTCATCACCCCGGCCGGCACCATGACAGTGACCCTGTGCAGCAGCCGGGAACTGCCCTCAAGGCCTGATGGGGTGCTGCATGTGGCTCTGCCCTCCGTGCTCACCCCACTGGCCCCGCCAGGTCCGCCGGGCCCCCCCAGACCTCCGGGGCTCTGTGACGACAGGTTGGGCCTATGGTGATTCTCTTCGTCCCTCCCTCGGCTTCTCTGGGTCTAGTGCGGGTGAGGGGGCTTTGGCAGGGTGCCCCTGGGCAATGGGCAGGGTGGAGACAGGCTGGGGCCAGTCAGCCAGAGGGGCTAGGGGCCTTGGTAGTGGCCAAGTGACCCTCCTCGTGCTCCCTTCCAGCCCTACCAGCTGCTTTGGGGTGGGCAGCCCTCAGGAGGAAGGTCTGGCCTGGGAAGAGCCAGCTGCCCCTCCGGACGTGTTCTTAGGCCCTGCCCGCTGCCCTGCCCCATACACCTTCTCCTTCGAGATGCTGGTGACTGGGCCATGCCTGCTGGCAGGTGGGTGCCCCTCTCAGCATAGCTGACTGGGAAATAATTCAAGGCTCAGGGATGGGAGGAACACAGAACAAAAAGGAGGGACCTAAGACGTAGGAACCTCGTCTCACAGTGCGAGCATCCTCTGGACACTACTATACAAGCCCCCCCCTCGGTTTGTCAGTGTCATTTATTTACCTACCACCCCACTCACCCGTGGGAAGAGAGAGGCTGACTGTGAGGCCAGTACAAGAAGTGGGGGAGGGTGCTAAATCAGCAGTTGGGTTGACCAGCCAGGAACAGAGCTGGGACTCTGCCTCCCAAACCACGAAACCATGCAACCCCCCTCTTGTCCATTGGAGCCTATGGCCAGGTTCTGAGAGCTGAGCTTAATCAGTTGTGATTCTTGGGCCCTCCTTTCCCCCCCAGCCCCCATGGTCTGGGAAGGTGGTGTTTATGCTCTTAGTGCTGACTTGGGGTGGAGCGATCATCACCCCTCCCTGCCTCTATGTCCCTCAGGCCTAGAGAGCCCCTCTCATGTTCTACGGGCAGATGCCCCACCTCACGCCAGCTCTGCAGCCACCATCTGTGTCACACTGGCAGAAGGCCACCGCTGTGACCGGGCCCTGGAGATCCTGCTGCACCCCAGTGGTGAGGGAATGGGGCACACAGTGGGCCGGCCCTGACCAACTCCGGGGCCACCTCAGTAGCATTTTTCAAGCATAGATTTCTGGTTCCCTAGCCAGAGGGGCCAAGTCATCTGTAAGGGTGAGCCTGGTGGTGTAGGGAGGCTGGACCTACAGGGTCCTCCCTGGACAGCAGAACTGGGTAGTTAGGGTCCAGAAACAGGGATTCCCCTGCCAGAGCTGTGTCCCCTCCTCCCCAGAGCCCCACCAGCCGCACCTGATGCTGGAGGCCGGCAGCCTGAGTTCAGCAGAATATGAGGCCCGAGTGAGGGCCCGCCGGGATTTCCAGAGGCTACAGCGAAGACACAGTGACGGGGACCGGCAGGTATAGCTGCCGGGGGGCCCGCCTTGGTCCCTGGCCTGGCTGCTGGGTGCCTTTGTGCATGAGGAACAGGCAAGCAGACTCATGTTGGGATGAGTAGGGGGCTCTGCTCACAGTAAGAACTCTTAGTCCCACCACCACCATCCCAAAGGGCTGGTGAGTATTGTCTCCGGAGGGCCCATACAAGCCTCCCTGGACTGTGTCTCAGAGAACGGGGGCTCAATCTGCCGTAGGCAGAGGACGGCCACCTGCCTCTGCCCTGGCCTTTATTCACGTGACCACAAAAAGGTGACTCATTGGGTGGATTAGACAGAAAAAGGCCCGAGGGCTGAGTCCCGCTGCCAGTCCAGGTGGGAGTTGCACTAAGCCCGGCCTGGGGTGACTCTGGGCTCCCATCTTCAGGTGTGGTTCCTGCAGCGACGCTTTCACAAGGATATCCTGCTGAACCCTGTGCTGATGCTGAGCTTCTGCCCGGACCTGAGCTCCAAGCCTGGACACCTGGGCACAGCTACACGGGAGCTCCTCTTCCTGCTGGATGGCAGCACTGTAGCACACAAGGCCTGTGGGGGGCACGCGGGGCAGGCCTGGGGGCAGTAGGTCTGAGGTGGGCTGCAGCGCGCGCGCACACACACACACACACACACACACACACACTCAGAGGTGTCTCTCCCAGATCCCAAGAGCCTATCTCATACATAAAGTTGGGTTGTCACCTAATCTCAAAGCCAAGTGTCATACACACCTGCAGAGTCACAGACACAAATGTCTCCCTAACACTCTCCATTCTCACTCACAGCCTTTCTCACACAGTCTCTCACACACAGGGCCTCTCCCAGATCCTCATCCAGGCCCTCATTTTATACACAACCTGCAGAGGCGGGTCATCTGTGTCCCTTTCTCTCTACCAGTGCCCAGGGGCCTGCCTCACACCGTCCTCTCTGCCCCTCCCCAGGATGCCCTTGTCTTGGCCGTGAAGTCACTCCCGTCCCAGACTCTCATCAACCTGGCTACGTTTGGCACGGCAGTGCAGCCCCTCTTCCCCGAGAGCAGGCTTTGCAGTGATGTGAGTGTGGTCCAGGAATTTGGGGGCCTAGTGGAGATGCTCAGCTCAGCGCACCCAGCCTGTGCCTTCTCTCTGCAGGACACTGTGAAGCTCATCTGTGAGAGTGTTGAGACCCTGCAGGCTGCGGGAGGTCCCCCAGATGTGCTGGCTGCACTGGATTGGGCCATGAGGCAGCCCCAGCACAGGGCCCACCCTCGGCAGCTGTTCCTGCTCACTGCGGCCTCGCCCGTGGCCGCCACTACCCACCAAACCCTGGAGCTCATGAGGTGGCACAGGGGGGCAGCCAGGTACGAGGTGGGCAGAGACAGGTGACTGAGATGAACGCCCTCAGAGGCTCTGAAGGTCACACTGCCTCCCTTCCTTCCTCAGGTGCTTCTCCTTTGGGCTCGGGCCTGCCTGCCACCAGCTGCTCCAGGGTCTGTCTGCCCTCAGCAGGGGCCGGGCCTACTTCCTGAGGCCTGGGGAGAGGCTGCAGCCCCTGGTGAGCTTGAGCCTGGGCCCTGTTCCCTACTCCCCAAGTCCTTCTCCCAAGTGACACTGAGGCTGAAGCAGAACCCAGTCCCGTTGTGGGGTCTCCTGGCTTCTCCCCCACTCCAATCCCTATTCTCCCTTGAGATGCCAATCAGGGGAGGAGCTACAGGTGTTGCTGTGGGATGCTTCAGGGGGCTAAAGGTGAGGGGAGCACAGCTTCTGACCACCCCCCAAATATTCTCAGTTGTGTCCTGGTACTGAGTCATAGCCTCAATAAGCCTTTTCTCATTCACATGGTAGAGCTCAGGCCAAGAGACAGACCAAGCCCTGAGGCCTGAGCTCTCAGTCCCCTTGCTTGTTCCTGCCCCCATTCCTTCCCCTGACCCCAGCCTGACCCTGCTCCCCTCAACCAGAGACTAGGCAGATGGGAAGGGCAGCCTTCCTGCTCTTTCAGCTGAGTGGCACCTCTCTCTCCCCCGTGGCCGCTCCTCACAGCTGGTGCGGGCTCTGCGCAAGGCACTGGAGCCGGCTTTGAGCGACGTCTCTGTGGACTGGTTTGTGCCAGACTCGGTGGAGGCCCTGCTGACGCCCCGGGAGATCCCAGCACTCTACCCCGGGGACCAGCTGCTCGGTTACTGCTCACTCTTCAGGGTGGATGGCTTCCGGCCTCACCCCCCTGGGGTAGGCCTGGGCTGGGGTGCGGGCAGTGGGCCTGGGATGGCTGAAGCCCTTGCATCTCTTCCAAACCCTTCCTCCATTTCCCGTGCCTCTCTGCCAACTCTCCTACCACCTCCAGGCCTCCTCAGAGACCACACTGGGCCCTCCAAGGTGACTGCCACCTGCCTCCTCTTGAGTCTTCCACTGGGTTGTCCTGTAAAGTGTAGCCCTGGGCTTTTACCACAGGTCACTAAGCCACACAGACGCAGAGAACAGCTCCAGCATTTGCTATGAGGTTTTTGTCAAAATTTGCTCACTCCTTCCCTCAGTGCCCTACAGAAGGCACCATCCGATTATTTCCTGTAACATTCAGGGACAGGCGCAGCACAGTCTAGACCAGTGGTTCTCAACCTTGGCTGCACATTAGAATCACCTGGGAATCTTTTTTTTTTTAATCCTGATTTCTGGGCCTCGTCCTCTGGAAATTCTGTTTCTTTGTTATGGGGTGAGGCCACAACATTAGTAACAAAGAAACAGAATTTCCGGAGGATGAGGCCCAGAAATCAGGATTTTAAAAAGATTCCCAGGTGATTCTAATGTGCAGCCAAGGTTGCGAACCACTGTTCTAGATGAAATCTCAGATCCCAACTCTGCCAGGTACTAGCCATTTGATTTTGGGCAAGTCACTTCACCTCTCTGAAGACCATTTCCTCAAACGGGTTTTTTTTTCATAGGGTTGTTGTAATTCGAGGTCATAATACTAGTATACACGCTCTTGGTAGAATACTTGACACATCGGAGTGAGAGATGTGGTAGTTATTTTTATTATGAAAAGCTTTCTCTCTTTAGAAGAACTAAGCATGCTTCTCCCTTTCTGATAATGGACTGTTTGCCTTTTTGCCTGGTTGCCAGGAAGCTCAGGGCCAGACCTGAAGCTCAGCCACAGAAGCCCTATTAACCCCGTGGTTAGCATGGATGCTTCCTCTTCCTGAGTACTGGGCTTTCATTTCTGGTTTATTAACTTCATTGCCCCTTGCCGTTAGCCATCTTAGATCCTGTTTGGAAAGAGGTAGCATAGAGCTACAATCTGGCTTTCCCCCAATGACTATTCCTCTCTAGGGCCAAGAGCCTGGCTGGCAGAGCTTGGGCGGCTCCATGTTCCCATCCCCAGAGGAGGTGCCTTCTGCCACCAGCGCTGGCACTGAGCCCACTGGCACCTCAGAGCCACTGGGAACAGGCACTGTGCCAGGAGAGCTGTCCAGTCCATGGGCTGCTGGAGACTCAGAGCAGAGTGAGTGCTGGGTGTATGTGTGTGGCTGTGCTGGAAGAATGGGCAAGGGGAGGGGCCAGGGCTGGGTCCATTCTCCTGCCTCCATTAGGTACTGATGCTCTGACAGACCCAGTCACGGACCCTGGACCGAACCCCTCTTCTGACACAGCCATATGGCGTCGCATCTTCCAGTCCTCGTACATCCGGGAGCAGTATGTGCTCACTCACTGCTCTGCCAGCCCAGAGCCAGGCCCAGGCTCCGCAGGCAGCAGCGAGTCCCCTGGCTCCCAGGGCCCTGGCTCCCCCGAGGGCAGTGTTCCCCTGGATCCCCCCTCGCAGCAGGGCTGCCGCAGCCTGGCCTGGGGAGAGCCTGCGGGTTCCCGCTCCTGCCCCCTGCCTCCACCCCCACTGGCACCAGTCAAGGTGAGGTTCAATCCACATCCATTTACCATACATCCAGCAACACTTCTCGGCCATCTGCTGTATGCCATACATGGTGCAGTGGTTACATTAAGTCTAGCTGAAGAGCTGGGCGGGTAAATCTATAATGATGCCATGCAACATACAGGGATGAGCACAGGGACATGGTGCTATGGGGACTTAGAGTTCAGGTGACTAACCCTGTCTCAGGGAGTCGGGAAAGCAAGAGTCTATCTGGAAAATAAGTAGAAGTGAGCCAGACAAAGAGGGACACGGGCTGAACAAAAACAAAGACAAGTCACCTCAAGTGAGAAATAGTGTGTAGAGTGACATGACTGGGAGGGGACCGGGGGCAATGGGAGCCTGGCCTTTTTCCTAACCGCCACTCAGGGTTTCAGACAAAGGGACATGTGGCCAGTTGTGTGTGTATGCACGATGGCCAGGAGCTCTGCATTCCTTGGCCAATGGATCCCCCTTGTCACATGCAGACTGGGGCCTTGAGTGCGGAGGTGCTGAACCGTCGACACAGAGCGGCTCTGGCTGGCCGAAGCCTCTCATCACCCCCCGGCCAGGCGAACCCAGTCCCTGGCCGTCCCCGGCACCCCTCTCTGGGTGCAGCACCGGATGGGCCAGGCCCTGAGTCGGGGCAGCAGCTGGGACAAGGCCTGGATGACTCAGGTAAAGGTTGGATGGCGAGTTGGATTCTGACACCAAGGAGGCCTTGGGAAGGGGGAGCCCAGGGCACCACACCGCCTGTCCCTGCCATTGTCTCCTCAGGAAACCTGCTCTCCCCAGCGCCCATGGACTGGGACATGTTGATGGAACCACCCTTCTTGTTCACGGCTGTCCCCCCTGATGGGGAATCCGCACCCCCAGCAGTGCCACTGCCTCCGCAGGCTCCACGCTGCCACGTGGTGATCCGGGCCCTGTGTGGGGAGCAGCCTATGTGCTGGGAGGTGGGTGTTGGGCTGGAGACACTCTGGGGGCCTGGGGACGATGGCTCCCTGCCTCCATCACCCCACGAGAGAGAAGGTGCTTGGGACCAAGCACTCCACCGGCTGACAGCAGCTTCTGTGGTCCGGGACAATGAGCAGCTGGCTCTCCGAGGGGCTGAGACCATGGCTGACTGGGGTGAGTTGCTGGTGGGCCCAAGGGACCTGTATGGGGCAGAGGGGCAGAGGTATGGGCCTGTTTGGTCACTCTCTATACCCCACCTTGCACATAAACAGTTTGAGATGGCTCATCCACATTGACGAGGGGAAAAATTAAGCAGGGCAATGGGATAAAAAGGGTAACAGGAAGAAGAGAATGAGGTTTTATTAAAGACGAGAGGCCTGGTGCATGAAACTCATGCACTGGGGAAGTGGGGGGTGGGTCCCTCAGTCCGGCCTGCGCCCTCTCCCAGACTGGGAGCCCTTGGGGGATGTCCGACTGCCGCAGAGGCAGGAGAGGCTCCTGCCACCGCCTCTGCGCTCGCCAGCCATGAGCCCAGCTTCTGGCTGAGTGGTGCTTCCCCTGTGGGAGCACACTGACCACCAGGGGCAGCTCCTGCATTGAGCATCTGCCCCCTGGTAGTCAGTGTGCATCATAGCGACTGGTCGTTTTGCTGTTTGGTTGATTTGAATATTAGCCTTTTATGCCTGTGGGATTGAGCCAAAACCAGCTCTCTGACGTCCCCCAAGGGGTCCCAGATTGCGAGAGGGCACAGGCCAGGCCGAGGGACCCCACTGGTGCACGATCGGGGCTGGAGAGGGACCACGGGAGGACTCCAGGGCATGTCCGGCCTGTCTTGCTCAGGCCTGATTGGCTGGACCCCAGCAGCAAGCCAACCTACAGGTCAGAGCATCTGGCCCCTGGTGGTCAGTGCACATCATAGTGAGTAGTTGAGTGGCCTTAGCATATCATTAGCATATTATGCTTTGATTGGTTGAAAGAATTACTGGACACTTAGCATATTAGGCTTTTATTATATAGGATGCACACCATAAGGTTATGTGCCTTTGCAAGTATGCGACCCAAAATTGGCAAGCTTCTTAGCAGCCAATAGAGGGAAATGAGATCTTGTAAGGATTTCTAGGGCCCATAACATAAAAACAAATGTCACTCAGGAAGACTGTTAAAACCAAATAAAGTTAAAATTTCAGTTCCTCAGTTACACTAGCTACATTTCAAGTGCTTAATGGGTACACATAACTAGTGGCTACCATATTGAATCATATAAATATAGAACATTTCCTTCCTCACAGGAAGTTCTATTGGACAGTGCTGAAATGAGCGGATGGAAAAAGCGCTGGTCCATGCTTCCTGAGTGGTGTCCAGAATGTTGAATTTCTGGGTGGCCAAGAAGCCTAGCCCTGCTATGGATTAAGGCAGTGGTTCTCAACCTGTCGGTTGCGACCCCTTTGGCGGTCGAACAACCCTTTCACAGGAGTTGCCTAAGACCATCCTGCATATTAGATATTTACATTACGATTCATAACAGTAGCAACATTACAGTTATGAAGTAGCAATGAAAATAATTTTATGGTTGGGTCACAACATGAGGAACTGTATTTAAAGGGCCAGAAGGCCCTAGCTGGTTTGGCTCAGTGGATAGAGTGTCAGCCTGTGGACTGAAGGGTCCCAGGTTTGATTCCGGTCGGGGGCATGTGCCTTGGTTGCAGGCACATCCCCAGTGGGGAGTGTGCAGGAGGCAGCTGACCGGTGTTTCTCTCTCATTGATGTTTCTAACTCTCTATCCCTCCTCCTTCCTCTCTGTAAAAAATCAATAAAATATATTTTTTAAAAAAATAAAGGGCCAGAAGGTTGAGAACCACTGGATTAAGGGTTCAGCTTCACCACTTCTTACCACAGTTGGAGAGTTCAAGCTGGTCCTGATCCTGAGAAACTCTACTCTGTTCAAAAGTGCACAGAGAAGCTATGGGAACACTGACGTTTTTTTCTGTGAAGCCCTAAGTAGAGGGTGGATGGTGGGAGTGCAGCCCCTCCTGGTCAGCAAACTGCTCCTTGGTTTCACAGGCCACGCCCGGAGGTCCTGGCTCCGCGCCCTTCAGACAAGCAAGGTCAGCTCTGCCCCTTCCTGCTTCACCTGCCCTGTAGCTGTGGACGCTACCACTAGGGAGGTCCTGCCCTCAGTGCTGCAGGTGCGGAGCTCAGGTAGAGTCCCTCCCAAGTGACCTCTCAGGTGCTGGCTCTCACCTCACTGGCCACACGCCCAGACAAACCTCAGCCCTGTCTTCTGTGCCCCTGCAGAGCCAGTAGAGCCCCCAGGCACCCCTCCCGCCTCTCAGGGCCACCGAGATGCAGCTCTGCCCACAGCTGTCCACTGTAAAGGTAACACTCAACTCTGGGCAAACGGCAGGGAGCGCCCAAGCTTAGGGATCACCACTGGCACTGACTGGCTCCATCGCAGGCCTTCAGGGAGGCTCTCTGGCAAGTGGCTCACATCCAGACCAGAAGGACAACTCCAAGTCTGCTGTGGAGGACCCTGCAGCCCCTGCCCGAGGGCCTCATACCGTGTCCCCTCAGCCGCCTCTGAAGCTCAGCCTGGGCCATCGGAAGTCCAGAGGCCCAGACAGCCGTAGACTCTGCAGCCCCCACACAGGCCAGGCCAGCGACGGCAACAGTGAAGGCAGCAACCATGACTACTTGCCCTTGGTGAGGACTCGGGAGGTGGAGGGTGGTGTTGCCAGGGCCAGGGCACTGTCTCAGCTCACTCCTCCCCCCACCTCCTCTCTCCTCAGGTGCGACTGCAGGAGGCACCTGGCTCCTTCCGCCTGGATGCACCCTTCTGCACTGCGGTGCACATCCCACAGGAGCGCCTGTGCCGCGCCTCACCCTTCGCCGTGCACCGTGCCAGCCTTAGCCCCACCTCAGCTTCGTCTCCCTGGGCACTTCTTGGCCCTGGTGTCAGCCAGGGAGATAGTGCCACGGCCTCCTGCAGCCCGACCCCCAGCTCAGGCTCCGAGGGTCCAGGCCAGGTGGACAGTGGGCAGGGTTCAGACACTGAGGCCTCAGAGGGGGCAGACGGGCCGAGTGGTGCCGACCTGCGGGGCCGGACCTGGGCCACAGCAGTGGCACTTGCGTGGCTGGAGCACCGCTGTGCCGCTGCCTTCGGCGAGTGGGAACTGGCAGCGGCTAAGGCGGACTGTTGGCTGCGGGCACAGCACTTGCCCGATGGCCTTGACTTGGCCGCGCTCAAGGCTGCAGCCCGGGGTCTTTTCCTGCTGCTGCGTCACTGGGACCAGAACCTGCAGCTACACCTGCTGTGTTACAGCCCGGCGAACATGTGAAGGCTGCCCACTGCTGGGGTGGCGTCCCCCAACAGAGTCAAGTCACTGCCACCCGGGCCGGCTTCTCGGTGCCGGTGCCGGGAAGGAGTAGGTTGGTGACAGCCTGCCTCCCACTGCTTCTCATCCCCTTCCAAAACCCTTTATCTCCCAAAGTGCCTGCCTGTGCTCTCTCCCACTCCTGCCCCCTGCTCCTTCCCCTCTGAGCTCTGTACAGTGCGGTAAAAGAGGAGAGAGCCACAGCCCCCAAATCCTATGCAATAAAGTGCCTCTTAATACCACCTGAACGAGTTCTTTATCTGCCGCATGCATACCCCTCACTAGTTGGTCTAGGCACCTCCATGTAGGCTGCACAGAAGTGGACTTGGTAAAGTTTATTGGGAAGGGCACAGAGTCCATCCACGTCCAGGGTCCTGAGAAGGGGGCAGAGGTGGTCTCAGTGGGCTTTCTTGCTGTGCTGGATGCTCTTGGGGAAGGGCTGGGGGCCCAGCCAGAGCTGCAGCAGGATGACAGCATGGCACACGTGCAGAGCAGCAGAGCTGCAGGACGTGGATGGGTATGTGTTCCAGGAGAGCTCGATGAGCCCCAGCACCAGCAACCTGGAGATGAGAAATAAGCTCCAGGGTTTGTCCAGTTTCTAGGCCCCAGCCCCTCCATGGTCCCTAACCCTAACCCTTACCCCCCCTCAGGTTGTCCCAGCCGGTACCTGAGCAGGTGTGTGAGCCAGCGTGCAGGCGTGGCCCACAGGAGGTAGGGCAGTGTGTGGAAATACCAGACGTAGAACTGGTAGTGGAGAGAACGGCTGAAGCAGATGCCAATGAAGTTGGAGGTGAAGAGGGTGGAAACGATCTGTATGCAGTGGTCAAGGCCAAGGGCAGGAGCAGAGGGGACAGGGGCTGGGGGTGGGGTCAGGCAGGGAGGTTCCAAAGCAGAGGGGTAACAATTTTGGGGTCAGATCGCCCCCTGGCTCTACCATTCCCAGATGTGTACCTTTGGACAAGTTTCTTAACCTCTGGACGTGCTCCTCAATCTAAGGTGGACAGTGATACCGAGGGCCATAAAAGCCGAGTGAGTCCACCCTTCCTAGCTGGGTGACCTTGGTAAGTTATTTAACCTCTTAAAGCCCGAATGTTGTCCTCTGTATGTGAGGATAATAAATACACCTTCCTGTATCAGGGTCTCCTGTGAGCTTTAAATGTTAGAATGTACATAAACCTCTGAGCACAGCACCAGGCAGAGGATGCGCACTCATAATAACTCAATGATATTTAAAATTATGAATAACTATGCTTAATACGTCAATGCTCAGCACAGTGTCTGGTACAGAGCAGGAACTCTAAGAATAAGCCCTGTAGCTATTGCTGGCGCCTCCTTTTCCCTCCCCAGGTCACCAGCCATCCAGGGCCACCTGACCAGGGACCCTGTCTGCACCTGGAGAGGGCAAGACTTACCTTCCCATGACTTAAAGGATATGATTGGCTGTGAGGGGCTGGGGTGGAACCTTCCTTTTGGAGGGATCCTTCAGCAGCGACAGGATACTTTCCCCTGTCCTGGGGAAAAGCCATTCAGACATTTACCAAGCTCTCATCATGGGCCACGCTCTAAAATTCACCACCATGAGCTCAACATCTCCCCTCAGCAGCCCCTAAGGCCCAGGCCCTTCACTCCTTCCCCTACATCTGCCCTTGGCACTGCTCCCCTTTCTCACCTGTGCCACCTGCAGAGAACAAAGAGCAAGAGCAGGGTGAGGTGGGTGGCCAACAGAGCCAGGTGGAAGGCGCGATGCAGGAAGAGGGTCTCGGGGAGGAAGCGCCAGTTCACTGTCCAGCGGAAGAGAAACTGGCGGCCCAGGTCAAAGGAGCGGGACAGGTACCCGATGGGGTTCTCCAGCAGGAAGGGCAGCCCCAGCAACACCTGAGATGGATGTGACGTCAGCAGAGCTGCGCAGGCTCACCCCAGCCTCATACTTGTCAGGAGAGTGGGAATTGGATGTAGGTCTCAGAGGTTCTTTAATTCCCAAGGATTCCTCCCCCACCTCCACCCCCAACCCCTCCCCTGTCAGAGCCTGGGGCCAAAGAAGCTGAGGAGGCAGGTAATGACAGCGCTTTAAGTCATAAATGGGCAGAGCTAGAAAGGCCCTAAGAGACCATCTAGTTCAACAACCTTATATTACAGGGGGAAAAAACCCCAAAACAACCAAACAAAAAAACACAAAGCCCAGAGAGGTAGTGGCTACCCAGTCCAGAATCAACTCCAAAACCCTTGCCCCTTGGCTGTGAGGAAGTCTCAAGGAGGGAAGGAGTGAGGCAGGAGTACCTGTAGGACGGCACAGATGCCCAGCTTGGGGAGGGCCCCACGGAGGCCAAATTGTGTGAGGAGAAGAAATAGCAATCCAGGGGCGAAGAGGAGCACGTTCATCTTCACAGAGACTGCCAGGCTAGGGTGCGTAGAAGAGATAAGGGTGGAAATCAGCTCGAGGGCTATGCACCCGCACCACCATCATCACAGCAACTCCTCCCCTCCACCACCAAGTTCCAGGATAGCTTGGTGTGCAGGGCAGCAGAGCTGCAGGACGTGGATGGGTATGTGTTCCAGGAGAGCTCGATGAGCCCCAGCCCCAGCAACCTGGAGATAGGGCCCACACTCAGAACTGCGGGAGGGAGGGTAAGGTAGCCTGGGAGGAAGCTGGGGGTAGGGAATAGATACCTAGTCTCTAAGCCCAGACTGAGCAAACAAATATATACTGAACAGTGAGAATATTAATGACCAACTCCAATACAACTCTGTGTATTATGGGTTGGAGGGGAGACTTTCTACAGATCCTGGACTCACCTGGTGGGGCCTAACTCACCCACATTGTCTGGCCACTCCCTTGCTGCAGAAATTTGGGGGAAAAGTGATAGAAATACAAAAAGTAAGAAAGGGGACCAGAAGGGAGGGATGCTGACCTGAAACAGCAGCAACCCCAGCCCCAGCGCTGGGCCAGCAAAAGGTTGATACTGAGGAAAAGCAGCGCCATGGCCACTGGGTCATTGAAGAGCCGCAACACAAAGATGGAGTGGACACGGTAAGAGGCACAGCACATGAAGAAAAAGACGAAGGGAGGTACCTACGAGGTGGGCACAGGTGGGAAGAAGGTCAGCTCACCAACCCTGAGCCATCACCAAACCTCAGCCCTCCCAGGGTGGAGACCCAGGTCCCGGTACTGTGGACTCACCTTGCAGGTCTGGTGGTAGATCAAAAAGACAAGCAGCAAGGTGGCCAGGTAGAGCACAGCAAAGATATGCTGGGCCATGCGGATGTCAGTGCCATGGCCAGTGACATAGTATAGCCCCATAAAGATGTACACAAAGCCGGCTGGGTATCTGAAAGATGAGAGAGAACAAGAATCTGGGTCAAGATACCCCGCCTTGTACCCTGGCATCCAGTCAGCCCCCCTCACATTCTTGCTGAACCTGCTATCCGCACTCACACAAGAGGTCCGGTGTCGCCCTGTAGTTGGGTATAGTCGTAGGTGCCGTTGATGACGCCCTCTACCTCAGCCATGTAGGCCTTCCAGTCAATCTCTGTATCTGGAAAAGGAAAGGATGGTGTGGTTACTTCCAGGTCCAAAACTTGTCTGCCCCCAACACCTCCAACCCATCAAAGCACACAGTTCCAGGTCACCCTCAGGGCTTCTATCACAACCCCTTACCTAACTGCCTACTTGACATTCTTTGGGTGAACCCAGGCATCTCAAACTCAACATGTTTATAATTGAACTCATAAGCTTCTACTCTAAATCCGCTCCCCTTCCTGAGTTCCATGAATGGCACCATCAACCTCCCTGTTGCCCAAGTCACAAAACTGAAACTTCCTTCTCTCTCATTTCCAACCCCTAGTTACTATGTCCTGTCTACATTCTACATATCTTTACTGTCTCATCCTTCGCTACTATGATATAGCAACATTTGGGCCTACTATAATCTCTAGCCTCAATGATGCAACAGCTTCCTTATTAGGCTTCCAGCTTCCACTTTCCCCTCACCACAATGTATTTGCCACCCTGCAATCAGGAGCTCTTCCTATAATAGAAACACATCATATCTCTCTGCTTAAAATCCTTCAGTGATTCCCTAAGGCTGTTAAGATAAAGACCAAACTCTGTTACTGACATTTTAGAAGAGGAACCTATGAATTATTGAGCTCAAGGTGAGCGAGCTAGGAAGAGCAGAGCTGAAACTGGAATTCACAGGATCCTAGATTCTTAACCACTAAGTATGCTACTATCTCCTTAACACAGCTTACTGACTCCTTTATAATCTGGTCTCAACTTCTGCAATCTCATTTCAGTACTGGCCTCACTTGAGTTCTACGTTCCAGCTCTAAAAAGCCTCCAGGCCCAGCAGGCGCGGCTCAGTGTAGAGCATCACCTACGAACCAGGAGGTCCCGGTGGGATTCCCGGTGGGGGCACATGCCCGGGTTGTGGGCTCGATCCCCAGTGTGGGATGTGCAGGAGGCAGCAGATCAATGACTCTCTCTCATCATTGATATTTCTATCTCCCTCTCTGAAATCAATTTAAAAATATAATAAAAATTAAAAATAAATAAACCCCAGAATTGAACAGATGAGACCCAGCTGGAGAAGTGACATGTCCAAAGCCACAGCGACAAGCAGCAGCAGCAGGACATGAACACAGACCCAGGTCTTTGCCGTCCAGCTGGTTTGCTTTCTTAGCCTGCCGGGCTGCACCTTCAGGGCTGAGGACCAATCTCTGGGGTCGCCCCTTTCGTCATGGGGGCGGTGGGTGGATTAAGATCGGGTTTGGTTTTCTGTGGAGCAGGCTTGGAACTTGGGTACAAGATATGGGTCTGCAATTGGTGACTAAGTGGACCTGGGGTCGGGTCTGAGCTCCGAATCTGAGTCCGGGTTTGAGTAGGGCATTCGGGTCCACCTCCCTCCCGACTTTTCCGCGCCCCTCCTCTCCCCTCCCCCGCGGCGCACTCACATGCCACCCTGTGAATGACCCAGAAGGTGATGCCCACCTCCGCCAGGCAGAGGCAGGCAGCCACCAGCAGCGTGTAACGCGGCTCCAGCAGCAGTAGACGCCGCTCTTGCCAGGCGCGCCGCAACCATTGTCCGCAGAGTCCCGCCAACCGGGGTGGGGGTCCCGCCCGGGCGCGTTTCCGCACGCCCGCGGCCATCTTGTCGGTGCACCGTTCATGTGGGCCCGCCACCCTGGAAACCGGACCCTTTGGCACTTAGGTTCCGCTCTGCGCGCCAGTGTCCTAACCGAGTTGCCAGAGTCCTCATTTCCTAAATGTACTTCTACATAGGTCTCTCCTGATGGACTGCACGCTCCCTAAGAGCAGGAATGGTCTTACTCTTCCGTATATACTTACCCCTGGGTACCCAGGAGCTAAGATGGATCGAACATTTGCCCAGAAAAACAACCCCCTCCCCCCCTTCCCCCCATCCCTCCCGGCCCAGCATAACACTTCGCCGGTGTTGATAATATCTGTGTTCATGCCTGTGTCCACGCCCCTCCCGCCACCCCTCCGGGTGCTCAAAACGGGGAAGAAACAAATCTTTCACTAATTTTCATATTTAATGTAAGGAGCCGGTCAAATTGTAAATATGAGAAGGGACAGTGATGAACCAGAGTGAGTCTAACGCTCTGAGTGTGGTTCTCAGCTGTGAGTGACAAGTACAGCCGGAAGCTTCCGAGTTTGGACGACCTGATTAACCAGCCGGAAGGTTCTTCGAAGAGCGCTTAGCAGAGGACGGAAGTTCCACGTGTTTATGTTGAGCAACCTCACTGGGGGGGCGGAGACTTAAAGGCCACGCCCCCCACGATATTACCATTCAGACTGGCTGCCCGGGGGAGCCAAGCCCCGCCTAAAGGTGCCGGCCGACTGCCCTCCAGGCCCGGCAGCAGCAAGCATGGCCTCTCCCGGGGCCCCCGAGCCCCGGCCGGAGTTACCGGAGCAGAACTCCGGGTACCGAGAGGTCCAGTACTGGGACCAGCGCTACCGGGACGCGGCCGACTCTGCCCCCTACGAGTGGTTCGGGGACTTCTCCTCTTTCCGTGCCCTGCTAGAGCCGGAGCTGCGGCCCGAGGACCGTATCCTCGTGTTAGGTGGGTAGTCCCGGCGCTGCCCAGCCAGGTGGAGCTGGCGGGACCAGCTTCGCCTCGGCGCCCCCGTCCGCTTTCCTCGCGTCTGTCTGCCCCTGACTGAGGATGCCCAGGTCAGGAGCCACGATCCAGTACCTTCAGAACCTGGAGTCAGTTCCCGGCCCCCCCACAACTCGACAGTGTCTCTGAGTCTGAGCGTGGTAGGTGAGCCGGGGCCCCGTTCCGCACCCTCGGAAGGCACCGCGAGCACTGGAGAGCTCAGAGGTCTAGGAAGTCCCTACGCTAGTTGGCTCTATGACTAGGACAGGTCGTAAACCCGTCCTGAGCTTCGGAGTCACTTCTAGAAATGGAACTGCGAGCTCAAGTCGGATAAGGCACATGCAGGCACCTCGAGCACAGTGCATAGCATCTTTCTGTTTGCGCCAATGGGCACCGGGAGCTGTTGTCACCTGGAGAGAGTTACCACTTTCCGAACTCGGAAACTCGGTCTGATGCCCCGCGTGCAGTGAGGAGGACAGCGCCCTCCGAGGTCAGAGGGGATATTGCAACCGAGATTGGTGAGATTCCAGGAAAGAGTACTAGGATGCAAGATGGGGCTTAGTCCCAGTGCCAGCCTGGGGGGGGGGGGGGGGGGGGGGCGGTCTAGAGAAGTTGGATTGAGCAACGGGTTTCCTTCCAATTATAGTTTTTATTTTGGTATTTGTAAAAGCATTTATATGTTTAAGTGAAATATTTCATGTGCTCGCTTCGGCAGCACATATACTAAAATTGGAACGATAGAAGATTAGCATGGCCTCTGCGCGAGGATGACACACAAATTAAAAAGAAAAAAAGAAAAAAGTATTTCATATACATGTCATCTGTAATACAGTATATGAAAGGTATAAACAGTAAATCTAATATGTATGTGTATACCATACTCAGTTTGAAAAATAGAATATTCCTAGAACTAGAAAGGAAGAATAACCTAGTGCTTAAGAACTTGGACTCTGGAGGCAGCTAATTCTGTTGCAATCTAGGCTCATGTAATCTTAGCTGTGGAATAATGGGCAAAACCACAGAATCTTAACGATGTAGTCCTGGAAAAAAGACTTGAAATGTCTGTGTCTCCATTTTCTCAGCCTTAAAAAAAAAGAGATGACTTACTTATTGGGTTTTTATGATGATTGAGTGAGTATGAAAGATACCCAAAACAATGCCTGGCAAAATAAAAAGGCCCATCTATATTCAAGGTTTTCTGCGTAGTCCTCCCAAACCTCTTCCCCCCGCCCCCCCAGAAGTAAAAACTCAAATTTTATGCTTTTAAGCCATTACATTTATTTATAGATTTACCATAGATCTAATTTTTTAAAGCTTTAGTGTGCATCAAAATCACCTGGAAAGCTGGACCCCATCCAGGGACAGTTTAAGGTGGGTCCTAGGAGTCTGTAGTTTTAGCAAGCCCACAGCAGATTCTCATGCTGAGAATAACACTGCCTTAAAATCTCCTAGACAGGAAGGTATTCTTTTCTGGAGAGGGGAGAAAAGTCTAAAAATAAAAAAGGAAAACTTTCCAGACATTATTCCCAAGATCTAAAGAGAGGACCCAGCCCAGCCTGTGTGGTTCCGTGGTTGAGCATCGACCTATGAACCAGGAGGTCACAGTCCGATTCCTGGTCAGGGCACATGCCAGGGTTTTGGGCTCAACCCCCAGAGGGCATGCAGGAGTCAGCTGATCAATGATTATTCTCATCATTGATGTTTCTATCTCTCTCCCTTCCTCTCTGAAATCATTAAAAATATATTTTAAAAATAAATAAATAAAAAGAGGACCCACATCTTGGGGAATACCTATGTTACATTCCACTTTAACAAACAAGCTGAGCCCCGGTCGGTGCTAGGGAATGTGCTGGGTGGGTCCTTTCTAAAGTATTTAATATTTATGACAACCCTGAGAAGTGAGTAGTAAGTATTACTAGACTTACTGTAGATCAGGGGTCAGTACTATTTCTGAAAATGGCCAAATAGTAAATATTTAGGGCAGTGATGGCGAACCTTTAGAGCTCGGCATGTCAGCATTTTGAAAAACCCTAACTTAACTCTGGTGCCGTGTCACATATAGAAATTTTTTGATATTTGCAACCATAGTAAAACAAAGACTTTTATCTCTGATATTTATTTTATATATTTAAATGCCATTTAACAAAGAAAAATCAACCAAAAAAATGAGTTCGCGTGTCATAGGTTCGCCATCACTGATTTAGGGCTTTGTGGGCTATACAGTTTCTCTGACAACTAGTCAGTACTGATGTTGTAGTAGAAAAGCAGCCAAAGACAGTACCTAAATGAATGAGAATAGCTGCATTCCAAGAAAACTTTATTTACCAAAACAGGTGTCAAGCTGAATTTGGTATCCCCTGCTGCAGGTCATTGTCTCAGGCTGGGTCTAGAAACAAATCCTAAGATTACGATTCATCTCCTAGTTATCTGTTAGGGATGTGCTCCCAGAAGAAATCAGTCAGAGAGTGAGGGAATAGGGAAGGAAGAGACCAAGCAGGATTGTGATCACAGGCAAAAGTTTCCCTGAGGGTAGTTCAGCCTGAAGAGTCACAGATGCAAACTGTCAGAATCGAGCACACACCAAAACCTAGACACACTTCAAATGGATCTGATCAGAGCACTGACAGTGTCCACGGTTGTCATGTAGCAAGTAAGTGGTAAAGTAAGGGTGCCACCTGACTCCAGAGCTTCTGCTGCTGCACCATGCTTATGGGCATAGAGACATCTAGAACTCGGTTACAATTGGTAAAATGACTAAAGATGGAATGTCACAACTGAAGGTGAGTGGACCTCTTGAAAACTGGTAGACAGTTTCGCGTAGTGGTTTAAGAGCTCTGATTCTGGCATGAAACAGGCCTAGATCCAAATTCTAACTCTGCCACTGGACTATGTGACCTTGGGAAGTTTCTTATATACTTTGGGCAGCCTCAGTTTTCCCATCTAGAAAATGGTAATGATAATAACAGTTACCGTCTATATGAAGGTAGTGTGAAGATAAACTGAGATAATGCTTAGAAATGCTTAGCAGAGGGCCCAGTGTTCAGTGACTATTAGCTATCATTATTATTATTAAAAATGGGAATTAGAGGGGCAGTTTATCACAGACCATTCAGGGGACAGAGAGTACCCTGCCTGGGAACTTGTGTGTCTGGTCCCTATGGCTAGAATATCCTCATAACAGATGAATGCATGTGGCTGTCCTTGCTTTGCCATCATTATACATCTCTGATTCTCCATGTTCCGCAGGAATCTTATAATTTGGCTTCAGTTTGTATTTTCTATATATAGAGAAGGGACTGACCAGGGGATTGACTGTCAAGTCCCCATGGTGGCTATTTTTCTCGTTATAAATTAGTGAATTGGCGTTCTGGCTTACACCTCCTTCTCTTGGTGTTGTGATAGCATCCACATAGCTCTGGACTCCCAAGTGATGGGTTCTTGGGGCTGGCTCAGTTCTCTGGGCTCTACTTCCCTAAGGCTCCACCTAGGGAGGCAGGGCCTTCCCAAACCCCACCTTCGGTACTAGCCCCAGATCACTGAGGCAGCAGGATCAGAAATCACTGCTTTGTAAGCATGACTGGCCCTGTGGTCAGATTTTGTTCTTCCTTCATCTTTAGTGAAGTTCTCTTGGGAGATACCATTCCTTTACGAAGGGAAATAAAGGAAGGATATTTACCAGCTGCCGTGGCTCTGGTTGAGCGTCAACCAAGGAACCCAGAGGTCACTGGTTCAATTCCCAATCAGGGCACATGCCAGGGTTGTGGGCTCAATCCCTAGTAGGGTGCATGCAGGAGGCAGCGGATCGATGTTTCTCTCTCACATCAGTGCTTCTTTCTCTCTCCCTCTCCCTTCCTCTCTCTGTAAGAAAATCAATAAAAACATTTTAAAGGAAAAGCGGGGGAATGATATTTGCATTTGTCTATAGTTGGGCAGATCTCTGCAGGCATGAGGTCAAGTGTAGGGTGGTAAAGGGTTTGTGGGTCAGAGAACCCAGTGGGGTATCAGCCTGCACTGAGTTAGGGTCTCTTGTTCAGCCACTCTCACCACCCATCCCATGTAGTGTATCTGCCAGAGCTTGCTATAAGGAAGCACACATTAATTTTTTTCAGGTGTGACAGTCTGCCTGAGCCCCGGGACCTGAGAAAGAACACAGGAGCCCTACCCAGTTTGGCTCAATTGGTAGAGCATTGGCTTGGGGACTGAAGGGTCCCAGGTTTGATTCTTGTCAAGGGCACATGCCCAGGTTTCAGGCTCGATCCCCAATAGGGGGTGTGCAGGAGGCAGCCGTTCAATGATTCTCTCTTATCATTGATGTTTCTATCTCTTTCTTCCTCTCCCTTCCTCTCTGAAATAAGTAAAAATATATTAAAAAAAAAAAAAAAGAACACAGGAAAGGTCAGCTGAGGACCAGCCAGCATCCTCTGGGTGCTCTGGCCTGGTACCAAGCCCTGCTAGATTAGGGCTATCCCCACAGCTGATCCTGTGATCCTCTTAGAGACACAAATAGGGATTAAAGGCAATCTAATCCCAAGAGCTGGGCATCCCCATGTGAGGCCAACAAGGGCTGTCATCCAGCCCGGTCTCAGGCTGAGACTGACCACAAGAGGGCCTGGAAGAAACCAACAGGTCTTCGAAGAAAGCCATGCTGTCTGGACTATGGATCCACATCCGTGCCTCTAACCTCCACCTATTCTTTCACCTGACCCAGTCCTCTTTGGGACTGCTTTTCAGGCACTTCCCACCAGTATTATTATTCTTCAAGACTGACTGGTTTGTCAGCTTCCCTGAAACCCTTGCCCAACCCCCCTGAAGTGGGGACAGGGATCATCCTATGTGCTCCTGCAGCCTGTCCCTATTGAAACACTCATCATCACATGGCAATTGCCTGATTACACATCTGTTCCTCCCACCAAAGCATGAGCTCCTTAAGGTCAGGGACTCTTACTCAGCAGAGTACAATATGCAGTGCTCAATCACGCATTGAGGAGTTACGAGGGATCAGCTCCACTGTGTCCCCACCTAGTTTCCCCTTCACTTGTTAACAAAATAGGATAATAACCCCAACTTGAAGTTTTCCCAGAGGTTCTTTGGGAGGTCCGGTATTAGGGTAATATTAATATCCTAATGAGCCCTGACAGGTTTGGCTCAGTGGATAGAGTGTCGGCCTGCGGACCAAAGGGTCCCAGGTTCGATTCCGGTCAAGGGCATGTACCTTGGTTGCGGGCACATCCCCAGTAGGGGGTGTGCAGGAGGCAGCTGATCAATATTTCTTGCTCATCGATGTTTCTAACTCTCTATCCCTCTCCCTTCCTCTCTGTAAAAAATCAATAAAATATATTTTAAAAACAATATCCTAATGATAACACTATGAACCTAATGATGCCAATATTGTCCCATTCTGAGTCTGAGAAAACAGGCTCAGAATTGAGTGACTTGCCAAGGCAGTGGGACTAGGAGTATCAGAATCCAAACCTTATGCCGAGACCGGTTTGGCTCAGTGGATAGAGCGTCGGCCTGCGGACTGAAAGGTCCCAGGTTCGATTCCGGTCAGGGGCATGTACCTGGGTTGCGGGCACATCCCCAGTGGGGAGTGTGCAGGAGGCAGCTGATCGATGTTTCTCTCTCATCGATGTTTCTAGCTCTCTATCTCTCTCCCTTTCTCTCTGTAAAAAATCAATAAAATATATAAAAAAAAAAAAATTCAGAATCCAGACCTTTGAACTACGTTCAGAGCTTCTTCAGCTGTTTTAGTTCTTAAAATTCAGTGCAGCTTATCCTGCATGCAGGCTTGGTCTTGTTATCTTCCTTTTTCTGAATAGGAAACCCAAGTTCCTAATTCACGCATCTAGGAATGACAGAGCCAGGATATGTGCCCACGTCTGCATGACTCCAAGCCTCATGCTCTTTTCTGTACCATGCTGCTTCTTCCTCAGCACAGGAAGATTTGGGCTGTGAGAAAATGGGCCAGTTGTGGATGGATAATTGGGGAGGGGAGAATCAAAGCTAACCTAGCTCACCTAGCCGTCGTGGCTCAGTGGTTGAGCATCAATCTATGAACCAGGAGGTCCCGGTTCAATTCCCGGTTGGGGCACATGTCAGGGTTGCAGGCTCGATCCTCAGTGTGGGACATGCAGGAGGCAGCCAATCAATGATTCTCATTGATGTTTCTATCTCTCCCTCTCCCTTCCTCTCTGAAATCAATAATAATAAAATAATAATAATATATATGGAAAAAAATAAAAGCTAACCTAGCTCTTTTGCTACCCACCTTTTCCCACCCAGGCTGTGGAAACAGTGCCCTGAGCTACGAGCTGTACCTCGGGGGCTTCCCTGATGTGACCAGTGTGGATTATTCATCAGTAGTGGTGGCCGCCATGCGGGCCCGCTACGCTCATGTGCCGGAGCTGCGCTGGGAGACCATGGACGTGCGGGCACTGGGCTTTCCCAATGGTTCCTTCGATGTGGTGCTCGAGAAGGGCACGCTGGATGCCCTGTTGGCTGGAGAACGGGATCCCTGGACCGTGTCCTCTGAAGGGGTCCGCACTGTGGACCAGGTGCTGAGTGAGGTGAGGGAGCAACAAGAGAGGAGGGCAGACCAAGAGGTGGGGGTGAGGGGCTGAGGTTTCAGGAGACTGGATGAACTTGGAAGCCAGAGGAGGCATGGTTTGGAGGGTCACTTTCAGGACTGTGGTTACCTGAATGAAGGGGAGCGTTACACTGGTCAGGATTATAGGAGGCTGGAGTGGCCAGCTGCACAGAGCTACTGGGATGCCATAGGGATGGCATAGCAGCCAGGTTCCAGATAGGTAACAGACTGAGAGGGAGGGCAATTGGCAGGAAAGCAGTACCCCCTGGCTTGACATCACTCCCATGCTCCTGCCTGTCTAGAATATAGCCCTGCCCCATGGAATGACCGGGGACACAGAAGGAGGCTCAATTTGCCACGGAGAGCTGGATGTAGAGTAGTATCTGGGAAGTCAACTGGGACAATACTGACCTTTGAGAACCTGAAGATGCAGTCCTCACCATTGGCTTCTCTGTCTGCCTTGCAGGTGAGCCGAGTGCTGGTCCCTGGAGGCCGGTTCATCTCGCTGACCTCTGCTGCCCCCCATTTTCGGACTAGACACTATGCCCAAGCCCGTTATGGCTGGTCCCTAAGGCATGCAACCTATGGCAACGGTTTCCACTTCCATCTCTACCTCATGCACAAGGGCAAAGAGCTGAGTGTGGCTCAGCTGGCTCTTGGGACCCAGATCCTCTCATCCCCCAGACCTCCCACCTCACCCTGCTTTCTCCAGGACTCAGATCATGAGGACTTCCTCAGTGCCATTCAGCTGTGAGGCCAGAAGCATGGTCCTTGAGTCCTCCTTACCTTTCTGCCCTGGACTCCTCAAGTTGTTGTAATTCCTGATTCAGGGCTTAGGGTTGGGTCCATGGTGCTCACATCCCAGGGGCCTGATGCCTAAGACAGAGCTGATGAAAGCAACCCCACATGAAACAATATAGCCCAGGCTAAGTTACATCTCAAATCACAGGTTTCTGGCTTCCTTCTTGGGTCTCAGATCTCCCCTGGGCTCCCCAACTTCTTCTTCCACCATATTGAATCCACCACAGCCCCTCTGCTTGCCAGCCAGACTCAGAGACCTGCATCCCCGGGGCCTGTTGTTGCCTCCCCACCCCCTTCAACCTGGATTTATCCACAGGAGGCTGCAGACTTTGAATCTAGATTGCTTTACAATTCTGACCCTAACTCCAGCCCCAACTCTGGTGACCTATCCTGTTCTGGTTGTATATTTACCCAAGAATGCTACATGGTAATGTTCTCGGGCAAGGCTGCCTGCTGTGTTTTCTTGGCAACTCTTCCCTGCCAGTAACATGCACCTGGGATGCTCAAGTACCCACTCCCCTCCCCAAAAGGGACTAGAGCCATTTTTGCTTGACCCCTGAGCAAGCCGAAGCAATAGGCACACACACACAGGGAGGTCTGTGTTTATTACACACTCCTGGTACAGTGAGGATGGAGGAACATTTACAAAGGACATCTCTAGGGCCACAGGTGTCATCCAAGGGTGCAGATCAGTCCCCATTTGGGTTCCCAGGGGCAGGGCGCAGGGGTCCAAGGTAAAATCACACCTGGGCCCTTGGAAGGTGATACCTGGAGGGGAGGGGTCTGCCAGAGAGCCGCCTGGGGTCGGGCCTGGGCAGACTGGCCACATGTTGGTTACCATGTTGGGGGCTTGTCCATGCCCACCCTCAGCACTCGTCCTATCTGCCAGGCGCAGAAGAGCAAGGACGAGACCGAGGGGGGAGGGCACTAATCATGAGGGGAGCCAGTAAACAAAGAGTCGGATATAAAAATACAAATGTGCTGAGGAAGTCCCTTAGAAAGAGGCCGAGGCTGGGGTCACGCCAGACAGGGGTGAGGGTGAGGAGCGGCCTGGAGGGCTGGGCTCAGGTGGGTGGGAAGCTCATGCAAATACGCAGCCAAACATCCCTGGCCGCGCGCGGTCCGACCCGGCTGGCAGCCAGTCTGCAGACCAAACCGGCCGGAGAGGGGCGGGGCTGGGGAGCCGTGCGGGAGGGGGCGGGCCGGGGGCTGAGGGCCGCGGCGCTCGGTACGTTCTGGTGTGCGGGATGGGGCTGCGGCCCGCGGTTCTAAAGTGCATGAGCGCGGCGGTGGGCTCCGGGCGGTCCACGCCGCTGCTGTTGCTGCTGCCGCCGCCGCCGCCGCCGTGGTGCTGAAGCGGACAGCTCCGGAGTGCCCGGCGGCGGCGGCGGCGACTCCGACCCGGAGGCGGCGCGGCCCTGCAGCCCCCGCCCGCGGGCGCCTGGGCCGGGGCGGGGGTCGCCGGCAGCTGCATCGCCTGCCCGCGCTCCCGGCCGCTGCGAAGCTGGGCCCGGAGCCCGCCGCCCGAGCCGGCGCGTCTACACTCCGGACGGCGGCTTCTCCCCCATCCCCTTCAGCACGTCGTCTATCCGGTCATCCTCGATCACCACTGCACGGGGAGAAAGCGCGTCAGCCGCGCGGCCTGGGGGCGGCGGCCAGGATGGGCCCGCGTCCTCGAGCCCCGCGCAGAAACGGCCAGCAGCCCAGCAACGACCCTCGACCCCCAAGCCACAGGGGCCTCCCCACCCGAACTCTCCTGCCGACCCAACCCCCGGCCGAGCCTCGCTCCACAGACCCCTCCTCTCCGCGTGGAGGAACGCCCCCTCGTTATAAGGCTTCAGCCCCTCCACCTCGCAGTCTACACCCTCCCGCCCTGAGCTCTCCTCCAACCCGGCAGATCAGAAACCTTCCTGCTCAGGGGACCCGCTCGCCAAACCTCACTGCAACTGAACCCCCTCCTCCAACGGAACCTCCAGCCAGCCCCAGCCTCTCCCCAACCTAACCCTCCCGCCCCTTGAGCCCCTCTTCCGATCCTGGCACCAAACAAAGCCCCCTCCCCATGCAAAGAACCAGGATGTCCGATTTCCTGCCCCCCCCGCCCCCGCCCTGCTCTCCAGTCGGACGTCCCTCCACATCCGAAGGTTCTTCCGTAGCATCCACCGACTCAGCGTTTGGTCCTGAAGAAGCGGCCCGTCTCCCCACGTTCCCACTTCCAGGTAACCCCAAAAGCCCCGGCCGGTGCCTCCCCCTCGCCCGGGTGCCAGGGCTCTACTTCCAGAGGTGTTGAGCATCGAATCCGGGGCACTGCGCTCCCGGGAGAGGGGGAGAGGGGGACGGCACTGCAACGGGGACCCCCCCACACACACCGCATCCCAGCCTGCGAGCGGCTGGCTGCGCTGGTCTGCGGCAAGAGCTGCGGGAGGCTGGCGGGGAACTGCCGCCGGGAGGCGCCCGGCGGAGGGTTTCTGGGTCAGGCGGCGACTCCGGGCCCCGGCCGCGTACCTCTCTTGGCTCGGCCGATCTGGCCCAGCTTCGGGGGTCGCTTGGCTTGGTTGCCCGCAAAGAAGGAGTTGGTGTCCTGGAGGCGGCAGCTGAAGGAGAGGTCGGAGCCCTCGGGGTCGGCGCCGAAGCGGCCCATCTTGTCCTCACTGTAGGGCAGGATCTCGGACATGGCGGGCGCGGAGTGGGCGCGGGACTGCGGCGGGGCGCGGGCGGCGGGCGAGCTGCCGGACCGGCCCTAGCTCAGCGGGGGAGCCGGCGGAAGGATGAAGTCATGCAGCATCCGGGGCTGCGGAGCCTAGCGGGGCCTCCTCCCCCGCGCCTCCGCCTCCCGGGCCGCTGGGCAGGCGGCGGCGGCGGTGGCGGGGACCGGGCGGGGGCGGTGCGCGGGGGCGGGGATGGCGGCGGCGGCGGCGGCGGCGGCGGCGGCGGCGACGGGAGCGGAATGACGATGAGCGCCCGACTGCCGCAGAGCGCGGCGGGCTGGGCGCGGTGGAGGCGGGGCGGGCACCGGCCAGCGGAGAGGGGCGGGGCGGGGGCGGGAGGGCCGGAGAGCGCGGGACTCTCCGGGGAGGAGAGGGCGGGGCGGAAGCGGCTGTGGGCGGGTCTTGCACGAGGCGGGAGTGGCGGCTGGGCGAAGGATTCCGGCCAACGGGCGCAGCACCGGCCCGGGAGCGGGGAGCGGGGGAGGGGTGTGGTGGGAGGTCTGGCAGGGAGGCTGAGAGCCGAGCCAGGGGGACTGGGAATTGGCGGGCTGGCCTTGGATTTGGGGGGGGAGGGGGGCTGGCTTTGGATTTGGGGCGGGACACCCGAACGCGGCGTGGGGAGAGTCGGCTGCCGGGCGCGGTGTGCGGGACTTGGCGAGCCCGCAGGACTGGGAGACGGCTCCGAGCGATGGGTGGCGTCCTCGCCGTCGGCGGGCTTGTATTGGTCTGCTCTTCGGGTTTTAAACTGCACCTGCATCTGTGTTTCTCTGACTGCCCCCCTGTGTCTGTCTCTGCCTGTCTGCATGGCAGTCCAGAAAGTGTCTGCCGGTGCTTGCCTCCGTGACCTCTTTGTGTGACGGTCTCCGTCTGTGTCGGCCTTCAATGCCTTTGCCCTTCTGCATCTGTCTCCGTGCTTGGCCCCTGTACTCATGGACCGCTGTGTCTCCATCTCCCGAGTCTCAGCGTGCCTCGGTCTCGCCTGGGAGAGGTCTCGGTAACGGTAACGGGGCCGACACGCGAGCACCAAGGCCGATGCCCGCCCCCAGCCGTAACGCTGGCGCCTGAACTCGGGTTCAAAGCGTCCGCCGCGCCCTGCGGTTTCCCGGCCCGGGTGCCCGCGCTGCGCCTGCCTTGCGAGAAGAATGAATGGTGGTGTCGCGAAGGGCACCCTGGCGCCAGGTGACGCAGGGAAGCCCGGAGCGCCCGAGGACGCGCTGCACTTCTGCGTGTGTCCACAAGTAGGGGGGGCGGGGCAGAGGGCGCCCCCCTGCCCTTGTTGAAGTGCCTCACGTGACAGTTCTCGCCGAACCAACGGGAGCACTCCTCTCACCTTCCACCCCCAGCTGGCCGTCCACTGCGCCGTCACCTGCTTGCTTGCGCTCTGGGGCTATGTCTAAATCCTTGGCCTTGAAGGAGAGGGGTGATGACAGCGCTGATGAGGGTAATAATCATTTCCTACGTTCAGGGCACGATTGAGGCGGAGGGGGTCTCCACTGTCAGTGAAGCGTGTCTCCCCCTCTCCCCCTCCGCCGCCTCCCACCAAATTACGCAGCCAGTAAGGCTGCCAAGTACTGAGTGTCCTTCCTCCAACAACTCACCAAGTGTTAGTCCCTGGAACACAGAGGCGAATGCAATAGTGGCTGCCCCAGGGACCGGGACTGGTTGGGGGGGGGGGGGGGCGGGTGGCGGGCAGAAAGAGAGGGAAGAGGAAGGGTTGCCGGAGGATGCCTGTGTGCAAGCCTCACTCAGAGCCCCAGATCTGGAGGCCCATCCCTATCAAGTCCTCCCCTGCAGTGTGCTAGTCTGAGATAAGGTGGAAGCTGGAGGTGGAGGTGGAGGCCCAGCTGGAGAGAGAGCCTGGAGACCTGGAGGGATAATAGAGGCTGGAGCTCAGGAACACTAAGGAGAGAGGCCAGAAATTTCACCCCCACTGGAGGTCGTCCAGCAATGGGTTCCAATCCTGGTTCTGCCACTTTCTCCATGAACTTGAATGGAAGGCCCCATCATTCTAGATTTTAAAAAACTAATTCATGCCCGGCCAGTGTGGTTCAGTGGTTGAGCATCAACCCATGAACCAGGAGGTCACGGTTTAATTCCCTGTCAGGGCACATGCCTGGGTTGTGGGCTCGATCCCCAGTGTGGGGGTGTAGGAGGAAGCTGATCGATAATTCTCTCATCATTGATATTTCTCTCTCTCTCTCCCTCTCCTTCTCTCTCTGAAATAAATAATATATACTTTTTAAAGGTAATTCATTTGTACTTGTAACATTTTACAAGTACAAATTCCATATTTTAGGAAAATATGGAAAATCACACATATTTTCCGTATATAGGGGTGGGCAAAAGTAGGTTTACAGTTGTGAGTACAGGAAAGTTTATTTTTCTTTTTTTAAAATATATTTTTATTGATTTCAGAGAGAAAAGAGAGGAAAAGAGAGAGAGAGAAACATCAACAATGAGAGAGAATCATTGATTGGCTGCCTCCTGCACATCCCACACTGAGGATGGAGCCTGCAACCTGGGCATGTGCCCTGACCGGGAATCGAACTGTGACCTCCTGGTTCATAGGTCAACAACCAACCACTGAGCCACACCAGCCGGGCAGTTTATTCTTTTACTGTTTATTCATTATTATATATTTGACTTACAACTGTAAACCTACTTTTGCCCACCCCTGTACATATGTCCTTCCAATCCTTGCCAACGCATTTGAATAATATGCATACATCTCTGCACCTCCATTTCCTAGTTCAAAGCATAGAGATGATAGAACCTATATTAAGGAACGTTTTGGAGGTGAGATTGTCCTGAGGTGAAGTGGGTTGTCTCAAGAGGTAATGAGCTGCCCCTCACCCAAATGCTAAAGGGGACATAAGGTTTCTTACCAAGGATGAGATGAGGACACTGGGTGGGGAATTGAAACAATTCTCTTTTCTTCCCCCAGAATGAGGGAGATGGAGGAATGACAATTTAACTTGGAATTCATTTCGTTAGCTGCTTCTTAAATAATCTTATTCCTGCCCTTGCTGTGCATGCTGGATCATGATTAAAGCAAAAAACCTAAGTGCAAAATTGTAAAGATATAGCAATATATAAGCTTCCATTATGTGTTAAAAATGTGTGTGTGGGGAGGACTTTTTAAAATTGTGATTCCCTATTTAAAATTCTGATGTTCTACACCCCTGCCTATGAGACAAAAAATCATTTTCACAGCTAACATGAAAAAAAAATTGTGTGGCATTTTGTGACCATCTATTGGATTTCTCAATTGAAAGCCCCTCAAAACCCAGTGGACTCAATCCATATGTTCTAAACAGAATAACATATCTTTTGACATTTGAGTATAAATGGCACTTTTATTCAAGTGGAAACTGTAGGCCTGTGCAGTAGGTTGAATAGGACCCCCCTAAAATTCATGTTCAGCTGGAACCTCAGAATGTGACCTTATTTGGAAACAGGGTCTTTGCTGATGTACTTACTTAAATTAACACATTGCGTACCGCATAGAAATCTCTAAGACATACGCCAGGGACCGGACGTTTTGGGGCAAACTGCACGTTATTTAAATCATCATAACTACAGATCATAATGCACTTTAGGTGTTGTTTTTGAATAATTATAACATTTTTATTTACAAAAACAATTAAACAATTAAAGTTCCTAGTACTTTTTTAACGGATGGTACTGCGTAAAACATTTTCCTCTGTGAAGAGGGACCAAACAAAATTTACATAAGTATCTAGATTTGCTCCTTTTTCCATGGGCGACACAAACTCTGCAGGCTCTCATAGAAAATGTTTTCTTTCCACTCGCTGGAATACACACAGGTTCATGCTGCTTCATATCACCTGACAACCTTTTGGGTGGATCTTTACGAGATGCTCTCCTTGCACCCGCAAGGGAAGGGCTGGACAGATTTGTCTCTGGTTCCGGAGAGCCTTCATTATTGTCATCCGTTATCTAGTCTCTCGCCACCGATAGCAGAAACTGTTTATACTTCATTTTTGCTTGTGGATTGAGGACGTTGTACACTCTAAATGAATTGAAAAGTCCACAGTTTATAAGGTACAGCACTACTTTTTTTTGTCCATTTCATCGTTTTCCTTAGAATGGAACAACACGAAAGGAATTGATCCTCATGGTCAACGCCTTTCATGTGGGCATTGTATTCCTTGATGCAGGTAGGTTTTACAATATTCTCTCCCGTTTTTCTTTTTTTTTTTTTTTTTCCTGTTGTCGAGACAGAAGTGTCATGGATCGTTGATATCATTCGGACAACCCGCTTGTCTTTTCATGCTAGGAGAAGAATATCGCCTTTTCTGGAAAATATTATGTCACCTTTCTTCATTCTTGATGTTTTCATTTTCAAACTTGGCGGTAAACCTCCACTCTCCCTAATAGTCCCACAGACTCTAGTTTTGTTCTGTAGCAGCAATTCAGCAGTAGATGTAGCATTGTATTAATTATCCTGGTAAATATGGTGCCATATGCCAAGATAGGGTCCAAGGACTGAAAGAACAGTTTCTTGCAATTTCCTTCCTTCAGCAGTGTATATCTCCATATTGTAGATATAGCCGGTGTCACTCTCGCACACCATCTGAACAAGTAAACCGTATTTTGTTATTTTTGCTGGGTTGTACGTGCGAAATTTTAAACATCCTCTCCATGGAATCATTCCCTCGTCCAAAGACAACTGTTGCTTTGGTTTGTATATTGTTCGAAATTTATGCAGGAAATAATCCAACACAGGTTGGATCTTGAAAAGTCTCCCCGATGCCCTGACCGGTTTGGCTCAGTGGATAGAGCGTTGGCCTGCAGACTGAAGGGTCCCAGGTTCAATTCCAGTCAAAGGCATGCACCTTGGTTGCGGGCACATCCCCAGTGGGGAGTGTGCAAGAGGCAGCTGATCGATGTTTCTCTCTCATCGATGTTTCTAACTCTCTATCCCTCTCCCTTCCTCTCTGTAAAAAATCAATAAAATATATTAAAAAAAAAAAAAGAAAAGTCTCCCCGAGCGACTGTCCATTTTGGCGTTATCGTTGAAATGCCAGAATGTCCATATTTGCTCAAATTTATGGTGACTCATTGTCTGTGGAAATATTGGGGTACATATCAAAGGATCTGTTGACCAATAGTCTTTCAAGCTATCTTTTCTTGTTTGACCCATCAGAATAATTAGGCCAAGGAA